ACGAGCTGGGACCTTTGCCGCCGAACGTCGACGTGTGCGAGGAAAAAACAAATGATTTTAGATTCCTTCGTTTCGGTTTCATATTGTTTTGGTTTCGATCGGTTGGTAAAATTCTAGTTGGAATAAGGGAATCCTGTAAGATATTCATTAACTATTTACTTTTTTTAAAAGAAATGCACGAGGATATAGTAATCAATACAAAATAAAATAGTAAAAATAACAAAGTTCTATATTTTGTATCACAGCAGTGACCGAAACTTTCTTCCTTCATTCGGCGATGGAAGAGCTCGCCTGTCTACTGATTGGTCAGCAGTAACGGCCCCAAGTCTGAAGGAATTCCAGGTGCAGTTCGCGTATTAGCTGAATCAGAAGAGCAGACAACAATGAGACCCAGATGGCTCTTGCTATGGGTATTGCCTTTCACCTAGAGCTGCCCTGGGTACTATTGGGCAGTCTCTTCTGCGGAGATGAGTATTTTTTTAGCCCTTCATAGTTAGTGTTGCCATGGATTGTCTTTCCAATAGATCTGACATGGGTATTGTCTTTTTTTTTCTAAAATTGTCCATGGGCATTTCGTTTTTTATAGAGCCTGCCATGCGATTTGTCTTTCATCAAGAGCTGCCATGGATATTTCTCTCTCTCTCTCTCTCTCTCTCTCTCTCTCTCTCTCTCTCTCTCTCTCTCTCTCTCTCTCTCTCTCTCTCTCTCTCTCTCTCTCTCTCTCTCTCTCTCTCTCTCTCTCTGCCAAGTGAAATAACTTTCCTTACTTTTTCCTTTAGAGAAATAAAAGTTCTCACTCATTGGTACTGGGCACTCGAGACAATAAAGATAATAATAATATCATCACTAAAATAGTAAGTCAAGATGATAGAGTCCTATGTTTATTTATCAACAGTAATGTCTTAAAATCAAAAGAATTCTTACGTTACGTAAGGATAATCATGATAAAAATGGTATATTCTCTAGAGTTTCATTTTATATTCACAGTGCCTTTGTCCAATTATAGATGTAGCATAGACACTGCAAAGAAGTCTGTCACTTGGTGAAAATATGTATATAGGGCGTGGTATCATAATATAGTATAATCACTCTGAATATGTTGATTTATAACTGTGATTACTTTTAGAAGCATAAATAGCTTTGTAATATCTTTGTTTATTACCTTCGCTTAGCACCTTCTTCATGAAACTCTTTGCTATCAATAGTTCATTATAATCATTTGAGAGTGAATAGTATTATTTGCACAATGCACACCTATACACGTATATACACGTATATACACATATATACATATATACATATATATATAAGCACGTGTATACATTCATACATATATAAGACAATGAATAAACATTAAGTGTTCTCTTTTCTATATACATAATGTAACCTTCGCATTCTTTTCTATCAAAGCTATTTCATGCTGTACGGGAAGCTTTATATTTGTATATCATGTTTATATATATACATACGTACATACATATATCTATATCTATCTATCTATCTATATCTATCTATCTATTATATTATACATACACATTTTCAAATATATTTATATATACTTATATATATATATATATATATATATATATATATATATATATATATATATATTATATATATATATGTGTGTGTGTGTGTGTGTTGTGTGTGTGTGTGTGTGTGTGTATGTATTCATATTCATATTAACGATATTAGTTCATAGAACTTTTTATAAGTACATTTCATTATCATTTTAAGGTTCAATAAGTTCGCCTTGAGGGAAGATATGTAATTGTTCAATTCATCTGTTGTGCATCTACCAAATAATACATTGGTTCCCCCTTAAATGTGCATTTTTGTGGCGACTCATAGGTGGCGCTTGTATCAACAACCCAAATTGCTTATTTCGTGAGGACTTTCCTGTCTTTCTTGAACAGACTGCCGACCCGTGCGAGCGTGAGCAGTATGGTCCCGTCCAGCGACATACGATAACCATCTTCCATGACTTCTTCTACGATATTATAACGACAGAACGTAGTTTTCGTGACAGAATAATGAACATGGGACCACACGATTACCAAGAGTCTGACGAGGTTTCCGAAGCCTTCTCAGAAGGCACAATATCAAGATGCAACAGCGTGGAGAAGATGACCGTGACCGTTTTGGCAGACGGTCTGGTGGAGGAAAGGTTTCGCGTCGATAGAAGAAAGTTAGAGGCGATGATATTGGGTGAGTATGGGCGTTTGGAGGTTTGTTACCCGAGGCTGTGTGGTATCGGGTCACTGTAGAAATGGTAAGATTTAGAGGGTGTTGTTGGCCGGGTCTCTTAGCAACCCCGCGCTCACGGCACGGTTCTCGCTCAGCGGTCGTCAGGACAGTTTCTGGTTAAACTACAGTAGTAAAAGATAAAACGTTAAAGCGTGAAATGAATATAGAGCAAACGATGGAAGTTATTGAACAGCCAACTAGGGTGAAATTCAGTAGTGAATAAGTTATATTTTAACAGGCAGTCCAAGAAATATATAGAGAAATAAAAGGACCTAGAAAGGGTTTTTGTATGAATGTGAATGTATGAACTTTATGTATATCCGTATTTGTGTTCTTGGCGTGTACATTTGAGCTAGTATTCGTTTCTATGTGCGTTTCTATTTGTGTATGCTTGTGTGTGTGATTGTTTTGATGTCCGGGATTTCTCGGAATCTAGTGGAGACACCTGGCAACTCTACATAGTTTGTTTACGTGAGTACACAAGAGAGTAAAATTGTGAATGGGTGAAGGAGCGATCGGTGATTGCCCAGTGTCCTCAGTTAGTGTGGTTACGTCACGGAATTAATGTTGTGGGAGTTTCATTGCGTCTGTCATTTCATTAAAATATTCCTTTTTATAGTACAACAGTTGTATTAGCATACAATCTTCTTGTTAAATTATTTTACGTACAATAAAACACCTGTACATAATTTAGTCGGCCTGTAGATTATATAGTATAGTATGAAATGAACCTTTCATAGTAGTTCGATGAATTCTAAAACCTCTTTGCATTTCCTTGCATAGCCGTTGCATGTGAAATGTCGGTAAATAATACACCTGAATCAATAAATCAATAAATTCGGAGAATAAAACTTTTACAGAGAATTATAATGAATACATTTCACAACACAAGAGACCGCTGACTTTTCCGATTATTATTTTTTTAATAGAATATCCTACATAAATAAAATTCCAAAACGTATATATACCATACAAGGGCGGGAGACTCACCTGTTAATTCATCTTGTCGCTCGTTACCTGTTTAATTAACGCTCTCGCGACCTTGGGGTAATTTTTGAAGCTTGAACGATACGGTGATTTATTTTCCAGCTGTCGAGATTTATTCATTTATTTTATTTATTTTATTTATTTTATTTATTTATTTTATTTATTTTATTTTTTATTTTTTGTTTATTTTGTTTATTTTATTTATTTATTTATTTATTTTATTTATTTTTTGAGGGGCTTATATCATCCTGTTTAACTCTTATCCTCTCTCACTCATCCAGCCCGGTAGATGCCCGGTTTCATCTACTTGTCTTCTTACGGATCATGGGTTCTCGCACGTGTATGTACGTGTGTGTGTGTGTGTAATTGGCTGTGCATATTTATGTATGTATGCATGCGGCTGTGTATTTTATGTATGTATATATGCAAGCATGTGGTTGTGTATTTTATGTATGTATAGATGCCCGTGAGTGTGTTTATGGATATATGTATGCATGTGCCTGTGTATGTTTATGTATGTATGTATATATGTTGGCATATGTGTGTATATATGTGTATGGAAGAAAAACCCACAATGCACAAACTAGATTTATTGATGAAAGTGAGACAACAGTTTCGGAATCGTCCTCGATTCCGAAACTATCTCACTTTCATCAATAAATCTAGTTTGTGCATTGTGGGTTTTTCTTCCATTTTATCAACACGGTATTGTGTTTTTCATTGCATATGTGTATATATGTGTGTGTGTGTGTGTATGTGATTGTGAATGAATGTATGTATGTGATTGTGAATGTGTGTATGTATGTAGGTGATTATGAATGTATGTATGTATGTAGGTGATTATGAATGTATGTATGTGTTGATGTGTATGTATGTAGATTATGTGAATGTGTTGTATGGTATGTAGGGGATTGTGAATATGTGTGTGTATGTATGTAGGGGATTGTGAATATGTGTGTGTATGTATGTAGGGGATTGTGAATATGTGTGTATGTATGTAGGGGATTGTGAATATGTGTGTATGTATGTAGGGGATTGTGAATGTGTGTATGTATGTAGGATTGTGATGTGTGTATGTATGTAGGATTGTGTGTATGTGTGTATGTATGTATGTATGTAGGTGATTGTGAATGTGTGTATGTATGTATGTAGGTGATTGTGAATGTGTGTATGTATGTATGTAGGTGATTATGAATGTGTGTATGTATGTAGGTGATTATGAATGTATGTATGTATGTAGGTGATTATGAATGTATGTATGTATGTATGTAGGTGATTGTGAATGTGTGTATGTATGTAGGTGATTGTGAATGTGTGTATGTATGTAGGTGATTGTGAATGTGTATGTATGTATGTAGGTGATGTGATGATGTAATGTATGTAGGTGATTGTGAATGTGTATATGTATGTAGGTGATTGTGATGATGTGTAGGTGATTATGAATGTATGTGTGTATGTAGGTGATTATGTGTATGTATGTATGTAGGTTGTATATGTATGTATGTAGGGGATTGTGAATGTGTGTATGTATGTATGTATATATGTGTGTGTATGTATGTATTGTTATGTGTGTATGTATATTGTGAATGTGTGTATGTATGTATGTATGTAGGTGACTGTGAATGTGTGTGTATGTATGTGTATGTATATGCATATGTAGGTGACTGTGAATGTGTGTATGTATGTATATGCATATGCATATGTAGGTGATTGTGAATGTGTGTGTGTGTATGTATATGCGTATGTAGGTGATTGTGAATGTGTGTGTGTATGTATATGCATATGTAAGTGATTGTGAATGTGTGTGTGTATGTGTGTATATGCATAAGTGATTGTGAATGTGTGTGTATGTATGTATATGCATAAGTGATTGTGAATGTGTGTGTATGTATGTATGTGCATATGTAGGTGTTGTGATGTGTGTGTATGTATGTGCATATGCATATATGTATGTAATTGTGAATGTGTGTGTGTGTGTGTATGCATATGTAGTGTGTGATGTGTGATGGCATATGTAGGTGATTGGTGAATGTGTGCGCGTGTGTGTATGCATAGTAGGTTGTGAATGTGTGTGTATGCATAGGTAGGTGATTGTGAATGTGTGTGTGTATGCATAGGTAGGTGATTGTGAATGTTGTGTGGTGTGTGTATGCATATGTAGGTGATTGTGAATGTGTGTGTGTGTGTATGCATATGTAGGTGATTGTGAATGTGTGTGTGTGTGTATGCATATGTAGGTGATTGTGAATGTGTGTGTGTGTGTATGCATATGTAGGTGTGAATGTGTGTGTGTGTGTGTGTGTGCATATGTAGGTGATTGTGTGTGTGTGTGTGTGTGTGTGTGCATATGTAGGTGATTGTGAATGTGTGTGTGTGTGTGTGTGTTTGTGTGTGTGTGTGTATGCATATGCATATGTAGGTGATTGTGAATGTGTGTGTGTGTGTGTGTGTGTGCATATGTAGGTGATTGTGAATGTGTGTGTGTGTGGTGTGTGTGTATGCATGCATATAGTGATTGTGAATGTGTGTGTGTGTGTGTGTGTGCATATGTAGGTGATTGTGAATGTGTGTGTGTGTGCATATGTAGGTGATTGTGAATGTGTGTGTGTGTATGCATATGCATGTGTGTTGTGAATGTATATGCATATGTAGGGATTGTGAATGTGTGTGTGTGCAAGTAGGTGATTGTGATGTGTTGTTGTGTGTGTGCATATGTAGGTGATTGTGAATGTGTGTGTGTGTGTGTGTATGCATATGTAGGTGATTGTGAATGTGTGTGTGTGTGTGTGTGTGTGCATATGTAGGTGATGTGAATGTTGTGTGTGTGTGTGTGCATATGTAGTGATTGTGAATGATGCATATGTAGGTGATTGTGAATGTGTGTGTGCGCGCGTGTGTATGCATATGTAGGTGATTGTGAATTGTGTGTGCATATGCGCGTGTGTGTATGCATATGTAGGTATTGTGAATGTGTGCGCGCGTGTGTATGCATATGTAGGTGATTGTGAATGATGCGTGTGTACGTGTGTGTTATGCATATGTAGTGATGCGTGTGTGTATTTGTAGGTGAATTTGAATGTGTGCGCGCGTGTGTGTATGCAAATTTTGAATATATGCGCGCGTGTGTGTATGCATATGTAGGTGATTGTGAATGTGTGTGTGTATGCATATGTAGGTGATTGTGAATGTGTGCGCGCGTGTGTGTATGCATATGTAGGTGATTGTAAATATGTATGCATGCATGGAGGCGGCTATGCATATTTATGTATGAATATATATATATGTAAGTCGCAGTGTTTATGTATGTAGGCAAGCAGTCAGCGGTGTGCATTTGTTGATGCATGCATGTAGGGTCCTGTGCTTCTCGTAGCTGAAAATAAGAATAAAATACGACAGCAGCATTTCATAAAAAAGGGGATTCAAGGGTGGAAGAAAAGTTACCTCGTCACATACATCTTAAACAGACGAAAAGGCGGGATTTCACTGAAGCAACATATGTAGCATGCGACTCCTTGATGCTTATGTTGAATGCACTTTTCTGCTGAATGTGTTGCTTAGGTTGGGTAACCTTTTTGTTCCATGCATATTACTTGACCGTTTTTTTTATAGTTGGTGAAACTGAACTGTTTCCACTGATTTACAAGCGTCGACGTGATGTGTAGATGTTATATGATAGACATCATCTTGTTTGTATATCACCAGAGCCGTATGTGCATTTGTTAAATGTACATCACTACAATTTCCAATGATATCTACCGTTGTTCATGGAACTAATTCACTTTTAGTTGCCTTTCACACGGAGACCTTCCCGAAACTACTGGAAATGCAGGCTACACTTGGACAACAGGATGAATCTTGTTCCCTACGTCATTTTCCGTGGATTGCGTGTTGCCACTTGTTGCATGGCGCCTTAAGTATTGTTGATTTGGTCTGGGAACACCTGAGGTTGTATAGTATGACACCAGTTGCTAGAAAGTTGCCTTGGTGGGGTTCAAACTCGAATATATGTATTTTTTCGCAGTTACGTAAGAGAATGTTTCAATATTGATCGTTTGCGAATGCAGAGGATAAACTGAAAGGTCAATTTTTTTTTTTTTTCATTTTTAAAAATCGTCTTGACTAAGACATTGAAAGGTTTCTTTTTTTTTACGTTCATTATAGTCCTACCAAAATGGCGCCACGATGCTCCGGAATCCTCTGAGCTCCGGATTTGAATAATTCCTCGGGGAAAGAAGTCCTCTCGAGTCTCTCCAGAAGGCAGACTCCTCGGGCCTTGGGTGCTGGAGGAGGAACCACGTGTTCGACTCCGCCTTCCGGGTCGCCTTCGTCCTCCAGCGATATATTGGGTCACGGGAGAGCTTGCGGCGAAAGGGGTCGAGAGTTTTTGCGTCAGAGGCAGTCGACCTCACAGCGCTGCAAGACGTCGGTAATTAGGTTAGGCCGGGAAGGGTGCGCCTGGATTTTGAAAAGTGGTGGAAATTACGTTATTAATGACGGGATAGTTTATTGATGATATTAATGACGGGACAGCGACGAAAAAACTCTGGGTCATCCTGGGTCATCCGAAGTTCTTGTATCTTAATGCAATGGGTATTTCCAACGCTGAGACCGACATTAAACTAGGTATTACATTGTAATTATTCTTCATCACACCGGGAGTGACAGAGGATCAGTCGGTCTTTTTCGAGTTGACATAAGAACACCTTGTCAATGGGTTAGTTGCGGGGAGTGAAATATAAAAAAGAAAAAGAAAAAAGTAATGTAAAAGATGGTGTTCAACTTGGATAGCTTTCGGGCAGACCTGAGGGAGATCCTTTGAAAATTTATCATGCTAATGAGCAATCCTGATTATAAATTGCCGAAACATTGAGTTTGAATATTCTATGTCTGGGTCTCTCCCCTGTCGCTCTCTCTCTCTCTCTCTCTCTCTCTCTCTCTCTCTCTCTCTCTCTCTCTCTCTATCTCTCTCTCTCTCTCTCTCTCTCTCTTCTCTCTCTCTCTCTCTCTCTCTCTCTCTCCCCCTCTCCTCTCTCTCTCTCCCTCTCTCTCCCCTCTCTCCTCTCCCTCCCCCTCTCCCTCTCTCTCCCCCCTCTCCCTCTCTCTCCCCTCTCTCCCTCTCTCTCCCCCTCTCCCTCTCTCTCTCCTCTCTCCCCTCTCTCTCTCTCCCCTCTCCTCTCTCTCCCCTCTCCCTCTCTCTCTCTCTCTCTCTCCCCCTCTCCCTCTCTCTCCCCCTCTCCCTCTCTCTCCCCTCTCCCTCTCTCTCCCCCTCTCCCTCTCTCTCCTCTCCTCTCTCCTTTCTTGTTTCTTTTCCCTCTCCCTCTCTCTCTCTTTCTTGTTTCTTGTTTCTTTCCCTCTCCCTCTCTCTCTTTCTTGTTTCTTTCCCTCTCCCCTCTCTCTCTTTTCTTTCCTCTCCTCCTCTCTTCTTGTTTCTTTCCCTCTCCCTCTCTCTCTTTCTTGTTTCTTTCCCTCTCCCTCTCTCTCTTTCTTGTTTCTTTCCCTCTCCCTCTTCTCTTTCTTGTTTCTTTGTCCCTCTCTCTCTTTCTTGTTTCTTTCCCTCTCCCTCTCTCGTTTCTTTCCCTCTCCCTCTCTCTTTCTTGTTTCTTTCCCTCTCCCTCTCTCTCTTTCTTGTTTCTTTCCCTCTCCCTCTCTCTGTCTTGTTTCTTTCCCTCTCCCTCTCGCTTGTTTCTTTCCCTTTTCGTATAGATATTCTCCATCCTCCTCATGGTGCGCCTCCACTTGCAGTCTGTGACAACTCCACAGACAGTCATGGAACAGCAGAGATATTGGTAAACCGTATTCATGTTGACAGATATAGAAAGGGTATTTCTGTATATTTGACGAAGAGATATTCGAAGCCAGTTAGATACATCTCTTATACTTTGAAGTTATTCATTCTCAATCACACCTTTGCTACACCTGACATTGATCTTGAAGAAAATGTACGTATTTCCAACTGGTCGAGCACAGCTGATGATTCAGTGACCATATGCCATGCCATTTAAAAAGGTAGTGAACAGCAGCGGCACCTGTCTGTCCTTCCTGGCAGCCAGGGCACAAAACATAGGCTCACTGCATTTAATCCGGAAAACGTGGTAACTAGAAATATACTTCACCAAATGTCTAGACTATCAGAACAGAGTATTCAAGTGTCACTATACTGGATACCCTCTCAGTGATGTGAAAGCGTTGATGAGTTAGCCAAATTAGCACCTTCTCATGCAGAACCATATATAATGCCGCTCTCCCTCTGTCAAATGAAAATAAAAACATGTTATCAGTTGTCTTCAAGACTGAGGGTCAGATATGGTCCCCTGAAGAGATGAAAAACGGACATAATACTATCTGTTGTTATAAGAGTATTCCTGAGACCCTAGAAATATAGACATACCCCATAAAGTCTGTAATGGACTGCCCCGGAGACCGCAGGTTACACTAAGCTACGCATAGGATATCAGCACACTATACAGTATTTACAGGATGCAGTTCTGGATGCGAAACCAGTTTTCATTTCACCACTGCAAGCTAAGTTATATAATCTTATCCATTACTTTGTTGCACGAGAACTGCATCCTATCGGTCAGGTAGATCTGTCCACAGATTAGCACTTGCTGATTATATTAACTTTATTATAGATACTGATCTTGTCTTCGACGTGATTAGTGACGTAAGTTTTTTTTTTTTTTTACCAACCAGGTGATTCAAAAGTGACAGTGGCACAGCTAAAGAAAGGGTTATCATTCTTTTGACTAATAGCCGTTTACACAAACAGAAGCACAACCAGTTTGGATAGATGCTTTGGTATCTTAGCCTGTTTTTTGCATGACGTGTACATGTTCTGTAAATAGATGTTATCTAATCATTTTTTTTTTCTCTCCCTCTCTCTCCCCTCTCTCTCCCCTCCCTCTCCCTCTCCTCTCCTCTCTCCCTCTCTCTCCTCTCTCTCTCTCTCTCTCTCTTCTCTCTCTCTCTCTCTCTCTCTCTCTCTCTCTCTCTCTCTCTCTCTCTCTCTCTCTCTCTCTCTCTCTCTCTCTCTCTCTCTCTCTCTCTCTCTCTCTCTCTCTCTCCCTCTCTCTCTCTCCCTCTCTCTCTCTCCCTCTCTCTTCTCTCTCTCTCTCTCTCCTCTCTCTCTCTCTCTCCTCTCTCTCTCTCCCTCTCTCTCTCTCTCTCTCTCTCTCTCTCTCTCTCTCTCTCTCTCTCTCTTCTCTCTCTCTCTCTCTCTCTCTCTCTCTCTCTCTCTCTCTCTCCCTCTCTCTCTCTCCCTCTCTCTCTTCTCCCCTCTCCCTCCCTCTCCTCCCTCTCCCTCCTCTCTCCCTCTCTCTCCCTCCTCTCCCTCTCTTCTCCCTCTCTCTCCTCTCTCTCCTCTCTCTCTCTCTCTCTCCCTCTCTCTCCCTCTCTCCTCTCTCTCTCTCTCTCCCTCTCTCTCTCTCTCTCTCTCTCCCTCCTCTCTCCCTCTCTCTCCCTCCTCTCCCTCTCTCTCCCTCTCTCTCCCTCTCTCTCCCTCTCTCTCCCTCTTCTCTCCTCTCTCTCCCTCTCTCTCCCTCTCTCTCTCTCTCTCTCTCTCTCTCTCTCTCTCTCTCTCTCTCTCTCTCTCTCTCTCTCTCTCTCTCTCTCCTCTCTCTCTCTTTTCTCCTCCTCCCCTCTCTCTCTGTCTCTTTCGCGACCTCTTTCTCGCCCTCTCTCCTCCCTCCCTGTGTATCTCATTCATCAATGTGAATTTGTATATTACCTTTACATTTTTTTTTTTTGTAACATACAGCATATAAAGTACATAGGCCTGCATGCATTGACAGTTCCCTTTTGTTGTTGCAGGAAGCCCCTCTGACCCCTGGGACACGGAGATCATGAAGCTTCCTATTGATATTGAAGGTAGAATTTTATCAGCTGACGACTTCTTTCAGAGGGTGAGTTTTATTCTGGCGTGTCTCAAGGTGTGGTTCAACTGGCCTCGTCTTCGTCTTGGGCTTGACATGTGTTCAGATGCACAGGCGGACGTAGTGTATCAAACTGCGAAAAGGACTGCCGTAATAGACCGCACTTTTACCTTTCGCTTGAAAAACACCGTTTCTCTGTAGTTTCGCGTTTCATGGCGTATATATATTTATTAAAGAAAGGAGCACGGAGACCGATTTACTGATTCAAAAATTACTAATGCTAGTCTGACGGGCCGTCGACGCGAGTGGAGATCATCAGTCTCAAATTTGCAATTTCTTGTTTATTTGTATTTGGTAATAAAAACATATTTTGTGAGGATTAACTCAAATGTTTTAAATGAAATCTTTTAATGAAACTTTTGACTTTATAGCGAATTACAGACCATGTTAATTAATTGCACCCTGGAAAGCCTGGTTATACCCTCACCCCCCCCCCCCCGGATTTTGCACCGAAGTGACTGATTCGGTCCAGATAGCCGCGCTTACGGGCAAGGTCTATACAAGCAAGGTCTATATAAGTACTTATATAGACGTTGTTTACAGGTACATTACTTACGGCCAGATCTGCGCGTACGCGAGACCAGTTGAATCGCGCCTTTAAGGAAATGGCTTATACGTACATGTATACTGGTATGCACGATGTTCCGCGTGATGTAGGTGCATGTCCATTATTTTTTAATTCGTTTTTGTCGTATCGTAGACATTAGGGCGGGGGGGGGGGTTACAGGGAATTAGTTGTTAATACGCAGTCACATTTCCTCTATATAGAAATACTGTGTGTTGTCAACAATTCATTCTTTGTCATGGTGTTTACAACATTTAGTTCCGTGTTCTTATTGCTGATTTGAACGCGAGTGGTGTTTAGAATTTGGATTCTTTAAGAATATATTTGAACTTTTCTCTTGTCTTGGACACACATTTTATGTTTGAAAATTTCGCAGAAGCTAACCACTGTTTTCCCTGCAGTTAAGTTGTTTATTTTATTTATTTGTACAGATTATGGATGAGACGAAGACAGAGATCAAGTACCCAAAGTTCCTGAAAGTTGGTGCAAGAAACAAAAAAGGTAATGTTACAGCTAAATGTTAAACAAAGTCTTAATTAATGTGTGTATTTAGCTATATATATTTGCGTGTATGTGTCTGTGTATGTACAAAATAGCTAATTTTATATCAGTCTATATCTTTGTTTTTTTTCGAACTATGTATTAGTACTACTGCCTTACACAAGTTATTATTTTAGAAGCTTGAACGACCACGTCATGTATCGTAAGGTTTAAGATGTAATTTAAAGAGGCTTTTCTTAACAAAGAACGACATTAATCGCTATAGATCCAACAAATACGGCAATGCATGGCCGTACAAGATTTAATATTTTCGCTTTGTGGAATCTTGAAAAAAAATAGATGCACGTAGAACTCGTGCAGTACGAGACTACACACGCGCTTCCATAGAGATACGTACATGCCGATATGCCCATACGCACATAAATGCATGCATACATACTTACATGACGATACGCCCATACGCACATGCATGCATGCATACATACTTACATGCATAAATACACACACACACACACACACATACAACACACACACACACACACACACACACACACACACACACACACACACACACACACACACACACACACACACACACACACACACACACACACACACACACACACACACACACACACACACACACACACACACACACACACTTACACCCCCCCACACACACACACACTTACACCCCCCCCCCACACACACACTTACACCCCCCCCCCCACACACACACACCCCACACACACACACACATACACCCCCCACACACACACACATACACCCCCTCCACACACACACTTACACCCCCCCCCACACACCACACACACCCCACACACACACACACATACACCCCCACACACCACACACATACACCCCCTCCACACACACACCCCACACACACATACACCCCCCCCCCCTACACACACACCCCCCACACACACACATACACCCCCACACACACACATACACCCCCCCACACACACCATACACCCCCCCCCACACACACACACATACACCCCCCCACATACCACACATACACCCCCCCCACATACACACATACACCCCCCCACACACACACATACACCCCCCCCACACACACACATACACACACACCCCACACACACACATACACACACACACCCCACACACACACATACACACACACCCACACACACACACATACACACACACCCACACACACACATACACACACCCCACACACACACACATACACACACACCCCACACACACACATACACACACCCCACACACACACATACACACACCCCACACCACACACACACACACACACACACACACACACACCCACACATACACATACACCCCACACACACCCACACCCACACATACACATACCCCCCCACACACACCCACACATACACATACACCCCCACACCCACACATACACATACACCCTCCACACCCACACATACACATACACCCTCCACACCCACACGTACACACAACCCTAGAAGCCTACACTCACCCACACTCCCATTATACATTTTTATACTTACACACTCGTAAACAGCCAATAGACAGTTCTTCTGCCTATTGCGAATAGTCGCCACCGAACCATCGGGAGCGTGGGAAACTATGGAGGCCGGCATTCTCACGGTTTTTTAAATAAACAAACTCAATATTTCGCATTTTGTCAATTACAACGTACTTCTATTTTTTCACCGTGATGAATTCTCACTACTTCCGATTTTATATGAAGACCTTACGTAGTTTTGGTTTATTTTGACTTCAGAAGGAGAGGAAAGTGTAGTGCATTTAAATTCGAGTATTTTTCCATTATTGACGGTGTGGCCGCGGAGGAAGGATGTGCGAGGTGCCTGTCGCAAAAATCGGAATATTGGGGTCTTTCAATGATCAGATGATGCAGAATGCAATGGTGCAGCACCGGTATAGAAGTGAAGATGCAACGAAGGGGGATTTTTCGTTAATTGAGGACATGAGATTCACGGGAAAGTTTAGAATTGCTTCAGGTGGTCACCCTTATGCATTGTGTCCAGGTTAGTCAATATTTTGCCCAATTTTTACCCGATTTTTGCCTCTGTCTGGTCATATATTTTTTTCTTCTCGAAACAGGCGGTTGCTTAGTTTATTTAATTTGTTGGTTGTCGGTTTTTCTGATTTTCTGCTGTATTTCTTTTCTTGAACGAGTACTGACGTTTTGCTAAAGGCGATAAATAGGAAATTTAAAGGAATTAAATAACATGATCGTATGGAGGATTTACTCGTTTGTTTATCTATTTATGATTTTGATAATAGAAGGGTAATTAAAAGTATTTCCAGTGTCCTAACTGCTATGCAAGTATTATTGTTTTATTGTTATTATTTTTTTTTGCAAGATAAAATTCGTAAACTCTTGAATAATGAACTTTCAGTAGAATGTACTTAAGGAAGCAAATCGGTTTACAATATCTTTCACTTGTTTTTTTTAATAATAAAAAATTATTGGCTTAAGGTAATAAAAAAAAACTTTATTTTCCCGTTGTATCGCAGGAAACCACCTTCCTTTGTGTATTTCCTGTTTTTAAGTAACATTTACTTATGTAGAGATAAGTGTGAATAAGTTTCCGGAAGTAGTTTTTACGTCCTTCATCGACAGGGTGTGTCAAGGACAATCGTTTTCGAAAAAAAACCTGGAAAATTATAGGAAACGGATGGGAATATTAAAACTAAGGGGTAAAGGTAATTATGATGATAATGAATAATTAACAAACCATTGATTACAAAATTGTTGATTTTGATGTACTTTTGAAAGGAAAAAATGGGATGATAATGGCTTAATGGTCATGCTGTAAACTATTGTGAAAACACACTACATGAAAGAATATACCCTTTTTAAGCCTTTTTAACCATGGGCGATGTAGACGAGAACAAGTTGACTAAATGAGTTTTGCAAATAGCAATTAAAGGAAGAAAAAATAGGAATTTAAAAAAAGGGAAGAAAATACAAGAATTCTGAAAAGGGAAGAATAGGTTTAGATTTAGGATAGCATACTGAAGAAAGCGTAAGATGAAAAACAAGAAATGATGATGACAATCCACCATTGCTCGTTCGTGAAAAATCGTCGATGTTTGCGTAAGATAAATATGATAAACGGAGCGGTATTGAGGCAGATACGTCCCTACCCCGTACCCCCTTTATACCCCCCTCCCCATGCCCCTCTTTGTAATTTCAAGTAACCTCCCATGCTGTACTAATGCTTTAGTGCAATTTTCATGTCTTATTCTTCAAAGCAATCCGAAATTACGCGAAAGGAAAGACAGAAAATGAAAAGGAAGTAATGGGATCGAGGTCCTCCTGACACGTGGTCCAAATCAGCTGACCGGGAGACGAGGGCGACCAGCTGTGTTTACGTTGGATCGGGGCGTCGATATTATTCATTTGATTATCCATTATTTTTTTCTTTCGTCTATTTTCATTTATCTAGTTCTCAAAATTGGATTCGCGAGATGTGTAGATTTCCCTCCCCCTCAGAAAAAAACAGCATTTAGAAATATTTATTTACGTATATTTATTAATATTTATTTTTGTATGCATACATCCTTGTCCATAAAAGGGTGTGTATATTGATGTGTATGTATGAATGTATGTCTATTTACATATGTATGTATATGTAATTATATATGTGTATGTATATATATATATGAATGTAATGTATTCCCGTGTTAATATTTAGATATAAATGTATCTATTTGTTATACCTAGTCGTTTGTTTGATTGTATGGATCTGTCTTGATATGTCTAGGGTTTTAGGCATGTTTGTATGTATGTATAGATATTTGTCTAAGTATGCACGTCAATATTGTTGTGTATGTATTATTGCATATATAGATATTTGTCTCCCTCTTTTTAAGCCATTTTTGAGGCAAACATTGGCTTTTCTTTTCTTCTCTCATCACCTAGTCATGAGTGGTCGTGTCGTAAGACATTATATATATATATATATATATAATCTTATATGGAAAACAACAAAGTTATTGAAGAAGAACATTTGATAAGTTACACGTAGGCAAACGGATCCTTTAAACATAAATTTACAACGCGAGTCCTATGCTTAGTTCAAACGATCGATCATAACTATTTTTTTAAGGCAGGCCAAGGAGTGAGTGTGAAGGAGGGGGAGAGGAGAGTGGAGGGAGAGGAGAGAAGGGGGACCAGGGAAGGAGAGAGCCATGGGGGCTGGGGGAGGAGGAAGAAAAGGGGGGCTGGGGAGGGAGATGAGGGGGGATGGGAGGGAGAAGAGGAGGGGTCTGGGGAGGGAGAGGAGTAGGAGGGGGAAGTGTGAAAAGGAGAAGGGGGAGGAGGGGAGGGAAAGATTGAGGAAGAGAAGGGAAGGGAAGGGAAGGTTATGGAAGAGAAGCAAGGGAGAGCCAGACAGAGGTTGAGATGATCTGGAGGGGGCGGGGTGGGTGGAGGGCGGGGGAGGGTTATGTTTAAGAAGCTTACTGAGGTGAGAGGATCTTGAGGGAGAGAGAGAGGGAGGGGGGAGGGGGGGGGGGGAGATGGTCTTGCATGTTGCGGCAGTGGTGTTAGTGACTCACAACTAGAGTTTGTAGTGTACTGTGCGGGCGTTTTGTGGGTGTGAGTGTGTGTGCGAACTCTCCTTCCCTCCCTCCCTCTTTTGGAAGACAGTGTACGCGTATAAATTAATAACCTACATGTCTACAGTTACGGGCGAAAGTCACGTCGTGAAATGATGCTACGAATCTTTGTCTCACCCTATGCAAAAAGTGTGGAATTAGGCGAGTGTTCGAAACGGAATGAAATGGGGTCAAAACTCTGTCAAACCTGACTGTGCAAATGATTTATTAGACTGTTATTTAATTTTAAAGACGCGTTTACAGGTGTTTATGCGTAGTGTTTGTGAAAATGTATGTGTATAAATTTGATATCAATTTTAAGTTTACATATACGTGTGTGTACATCGATGTTTCTAGCAATGTATGTGATTACATATAGTATATATTTATTTATAAAACCGTATATTTATACATTTATTTATTTGCTTATGATTTTGTATATTTATAATGTATATATATACATTCATTTGCATTTACACCTATATATACAAATTTACATATATACATGTACACATTTTATTAGGTAATAGTAACCTATATTTTTCGCTTGGAACTTCACAATAAAGAAAAAAAAAAATCTGAAGTCATGAGGGAAAACTTGCGATTTCCGATCAAGCGAAGTTCACAGATCGCGCGATACCCCCCCCCCCTCTCATCCCCCCCATGACGAAAGTTTACACGGCAGCGACATCGAGAAATACACGCAAAAAGAATCGTTTGCTAGATTATATATATTTTTCGCATTTAATTTATTGTCTAAGTAAAAACGATTTTTTCTTCTTTTTTTGTATTATTCTCGACAGTTACGGGAGTTAGGTAGGCCTATCCCCCCAACCCGAGGTGCCGGTTATCCGAACGGATCAAATTTCGAAGCTAAAAACCCAGCCCTTAAAACACGGCACGAAGCTGCGAGGACCAGGCCCCAGCAGCGCCGCCGTCGCTAGCGTGGCAGAGGAAGTTCCACGGGTGCGAGGGCGAGGTCGGGGCACATAAGGAGGGCCTTGTGACGCCCCTGTGTGAGGTTCCATTGTGCGCCTATCGCGGGCCGGGCTTCATAAACAACTGCGATCCGCCAACACACACCCGTCGGGAGAGGAGGAGGGGGGGGGGCGTCTAGTTTGCCTTTTGCGCTTGTCGGTCGGTTTTTTGGGGGGTTGGGTGGGGTTTTGAGATGGGTTGGGGGAGGTTTGGGCTGGTTTTTGGGGGCTTGGTTTAAAGTTGGTGGGTTTTGGGGGAGGTTTTTGGATTGGTTTAAAGTTAGGGGGGCTTGGGGTTGGGTGGGGTTTGGGATTTTTTTTTTTTTTTTTTTTTTTTTTGTCTAAGGTTGGGTGGGTTTAGTATGTGGTAGGTTTGGGGTCGGTATGAGGTTAGGTACGTGTGGTTGGGTAAGGTATGGTTGGGGTTGGTCCGGTTTGGTTTGGTTTGATTCGGCTGGGTTTGGGTAAGTTTAGTTCGGTCCGGCTCGCCCCCCCCCCCCCCCCAAGTGCAATAACATTCACAATCACCACCCCCCCTACAATAAATTATAGATAAGGAGGGGCTTTACTTATCAATTACAGTAATATAAATGCATGGGACATGGTGTATTATGAAGAAGAGAGATGTAGAAGTGTATGGACCGGGTGGGTGGATGGCGAATGTTGCACGTAAATTTAAAAACCTACATTAATATATTAAACATACAACCGTACGTGTGTATATATATGTATGTATGTATGTACACACGTGAGTTGGCGACATGCAGGAAGGGAATGAATGGGAGTTCGCGACTGCAAAGAACAGCAGGAATTATTGATCGTCTTTCGATATTGTAACCATTTAGAATGCACGTAAGCTTGTACGTGTGATGTACAAGTGCTCCCTCTTGTGGGTGTGAGTGAAGTTCACGCACGCTCACGCAAATAAACATGCCCCTCTGACACACTCTCGACCCCCCCCCCCCCCCCCACCAGACACGGACATACACACAGATACAGAGGCAGGCACACAGATACTCCTCCCACGACACACACACACGCGCGCAGACACACAGACATCACTCCCACGACAGACACACAGACGCAGACAGACAGCAATACAGATACACCATCCCACACTGAACACGGATGCAGACACATACACGGATAACCCTTCCTCCAACAAACGCGCGCGCGCACACCTCTACCTTCCCCTAACAGGCACAGATGCAGATGCAGACAGACACATACGCACACAGAGGCACAGAGATGCCCCCTGCCCCAGTAGTCATACAGATGCCCCTCGTCCAACAGCAATATACATAAACCTCTCCCTCCAACAGACACAATCACAGATCCCCCCCCCCCACAACAAGAACAGATGCAGATGCAGACACAGGCAGGCACAGATACCACGCAACCCCCCCCCCCCCCCCCACCTACCCACCCGACAGATACAGATTTTCCC